CCTACCACAGATCGCCTACCACAGACCTCCTACCATAGATCTCCTACCACAGGCCTCCTACCACAGGCCTCCTACCACAGACCTCCTACCACATTTTTCGACAAAGAGTTTAAAATCAGGGACGTACTGCAAGCTGCTGCCTCCCTATCCTACGAGAGCTCTATCTCGACTGAAAGCCACACAAACACAGAACTACATCAGATTTTAGCAGTGCAATAGGAAGCACGACTCTTACAAAAAATATTGTGACTCTGAAAATCTTTTGAATTGTCTTTACTTTAAAAATTTTATTCGTTCAACAAATGGGGTGGAGTTTTTCACGAAAACAATGAGTGAAATATTTATTTTCTGCCAAAGTGATCGAAAGTTGAATTATCCCTCAGTTGGAGAAAATACACTTAAGCATTCATGTGCACTTTTGCATTGTGAGTGGCACCAGGTATAGTTACTCAAAATACTATCTGTTACTTGGGGTGATCGATGAATTTCCTGTTGTCTCGGTAGGGTTGCCAAAATCCCTTGTCCGTTGTCATATTTTTTCAACACAATTTTGTACAGATAGTTTTTTAGTGACTGTACTTGTAAAGTGATCAAGGTATTATTTAAACAAGTCACATATAAGCACAAAATACCCCGGAGAGTGACACATAATTTGTACACATAAGTCACAAAGAGAAAGAAAATAATGACAATACAAAACCTAATAAGATGACACTTTGAACTAGACGAGTATAAGTATAATCGTTAACGACAGCGAGGTGGTGGTCACTGACGAGAGATACAGGATACACAAGTGACATCATTGGAGAGTGACTTACTGACCTTTATGCTACTCTCTGTTAAAGGTTTTGGAAATATTAAAGTCAAGAGTGAGAGTTTCTACAAAAGACAAGATGTAAGAGTCGTGGGTAACACTCAAGGCTTAATCTTCAGACACAACAGCAGAAGGCGACGGCGGTGAAGGTTAAGTTATTATCTTCCTGTGGTGGAGGTTGAGTTATTAATTACTTTTATTAACAGAAGAAAAGTTAGAATTTTTATAGCCGAGGTGAATTACTTGTGTCACAACCAGTACAAGGATCCTGACAGACCTATGAAGACATATTAAGTATTTTGTATGAGATAATGTGACACAACAGGCGAGCGATTATTGACAACTCTACCAAGACAACACGAGTTACTCCATGCTGTCTTAAACCCCTACGTTAAGTCATAAAAGATGTCGTTTTGCTTCCATTAATTAAATTGAATAAAAAACGACGAATTTATATATCCAGATATCGGGTCAATATTGATGCCAGGAAATTAAAATAATGTTATGCACAGCGTATTGCACAGTAATGCATTGCGTTATGCATAGTGAAATATTTGATTTGTGTATTTAACAAGCATTTCCCTACACTAGTTTGATAAGTGCTCGTTACCCTCCTCTTCCGTGTGGTGGTGGCGTTGGTGTCGGGATGACTACGTATCATGGTGGATTGTATGTTAAATATTTGATATTATTATTTGTGAGCAAAACTGGTACTTGATACCTAAAATGTTGTATGTTTAACTATTTTTGCAGCTTAATGTAGTAGTTGTTTTATATAAGTGCTATTTAGGCTTGGAGTTGACCGGGGCACAGGTGCATTTTGGGTAGTCACCATGACGTCTGGGTCAGTCAGTGGTGGACACCTTCTCTAATATTGTTTAGTTAAGTATTATATATTCAGTGCTGCTCTATTATTATGTATTGTGTGTATAGTGCAATTAATTAAAGTGTTATAATGTGGTTTATGGTTTATATACTGTGTACATCACTGTACATATTAATTGTTTATTAAGGATGGCAAACCAAGGGCAGTTTAACTTGGTAAGGAGTCTGTGTTTCACTCCACGGACAGCATACAACACCAGCAGAGCTCCTTTCATTTTACCATTGTTTGTCGTGTATTGAAATAACGTTAATTTTAAGTGATAAATATTAAAGATAAAGTTGTGCTGAGTTGCCAATTTGTTTTTTGTTGTGCCATATGTGCCCACATTATTATATTCAACTTTAAATTAACCTAAATTGCTAAGTTATGGCATAACAATAATCAAATTGGTGTTTTATTTTTATTTTACAGAAACACAAGAAGGTGAAGCTAAATTATTACCAGAACATTTGTACTTACAGGGATAAACTTCTTAGTGCTGTTGAGAACAAAAGACCAAATTTAGTCATCATTATTTCTTAGTAGCGAAGGCAACCTCTTCCAACAGTGCTCATCATATCTTACCTTCACTACAAGCACCATTACTACAAGACATAACTGGTCTTAGAAGAATAACACTTTTAACTATTAAGAAAATATTACACAATAAATGGGTATACAAGCATTTACAAAAAAATTAATATAAACTACATGAAATGTTTCATAAAATCAGTTGAGTTTCTGGTCATCTTCCTCTCACGTGTACAGTACAAATAGTTTTCATTTTAACAAAAAAAAAATAACAACGACAATATACTTCAGATTTCAGTATGTCGAGTCCTTCCCCTACATCTGAATCCACAAACTCTTCCTCAAATGTCCTTCTCTCAACTCCCAAGTACAGAGTTTCTCGTGGGTCAAGAATCTAGGGAGACTTGACCTATCTCAATTACTGTGTCCAAACATCTCGACACAAGGAACATCTGTTACTATCAACCTGTAACCATCCACCATCAGCTGCTTCCCGCCAGGCGATGTACCTGAAAAAAAAGTGGTTTTGTTTGATAAGGAAATCTTTTCACTTAGTGTTATTGGTTGATAGACACAGACAATTCCAGTCATGTTTATTTACGATCTTGTATCTGTCTAACGGTCCAGCCACGCCCACCAATGATCCTGTCCATTGATCCAGTCAAGACCATTTGTCAAGGTCAGACCCGCCCACTGATCCAGCCACGCCCACTACCCAGTAGAAGCATCGGTCCATTTATCCAGCCACGCCCCTAGACCAGTGAGGGCCACTGTCATTGGTCCATCCTCGGCCACTGACCAATGAACATTGGCCAGCCTTCCCCCCCCCCCCCTCCGTGTGTTGATATAAAGACAGACACTAAGACGGACAAGTACTGACATAAGAACAACACTGCTGTACACTGACCCTCTATACTGCAGGTTAGTTTATACATGTCACCAAGACTAAGTTAACTTTGTACTCTACAGCCCCACAATATTAACTGTGAGTGATACAGTGTCCAGAAATGTCCCGTTTGTCTCTGACGTCACTCATAGTTATGATATATATTTATCGTCTGTTGTCTGTCTGATAAGGTCAAGTATAATATGTTGCTAAAGGAATTTAGCAATGTCGGTATATAGAAATTATTTCCCCAATAAATACAGGCAATATTTACTATATTATAATGAACACAACGAAGTTTCTGGAGTTTACATCGTAAGCAACAGAACTTCATGTTGTAATCTCTGATACAGTAACACATCTGGTGAACTGTTCCTTAGCCTCTACGATGATGTATCAGGTGTGTGCATGACCACAGGTGTGTGCAGAACCACAGGTGTGCACAGGACCATAGGTGTGCACATGGCCACAGGTGTTTTTCCGTCACTAACAACACAGAACTGTTGCTCAACGCACAGTACTTCTCCGTTGATGATGGAAACGTAATAATTTAACTGATTTAGCGATGTGGTAATAAAATATACTGATCAGAGTTGTTAGACCAGAAGAACACAAGTTGGTCTAATAGTGTAAGTCGACAACATGACGAGTGAGATTGTGTGTTGTTGTCGGCAGTTACCGAGTACTGCATCTTAACACACTGTGGTGGCAGCCAATCATCCCCCAGGTGGACAAATGGTAAAACTAAAAATTCCAAATTGAATAAAGAAAATACTTTTTTTTCTATTATACCTGACGGTGAAGAAATATACAGATCGGTGAAGTACTAAAAATCAATCCTACAGACATAAGGAATTACTTCTTCGAGTTAAATTTTATTCCTGATAAACTCTCAGAGGACGATAGTACAGCCAGAGTTCCTTATGTTACTATCCATCTACCCTCGGGGAATATGTGAGACTGGCACGAGTTTTATAATAAACTATTTTATATAAAATATTATTATAGGGTAATGGAATGCAAGTGTTTAAAACTGTAACTAAATAACGTGTCTTAACATCACAGCCGAGGAAACTATTACAACTCGTACACAACAACGACGTCATCTTCTAAATTCCTCTCCTATTAATAGATCTTTTTTCAGGCCGTGGGAGGAAGAGTCTTTATAATGATCAATTTAATCCTCCCATTGTTCCCAGAGTCCAGCGAATCCGTAGTCCAGTGATATTAATACATCCTCATGTGTCTGTCTTAAAAATTATTATTATTATTATTATCTAACCATAAAAGGAAGAAATAAACTGAGATTGGTTGTTCACAGCGGTACTGTAGTTCATAAATGATTTGGTCCCGTAGTCCCTCGCCTTAGGCCTATGTGCAGCACAGTACATGTCGGCGATTCTTCCATTGAGGAACTTAATATTTTGGAAAGTTTGTGTGTTAGGAATTATTTCCGCCTTAAGTAATCATCTCTTCAATAACTCAAGATAAAAAAATCATGTCTTCAATAATTATTAATTGACGCGAAAATATGGTTAAAAAAGATCTTTCATTTATCCAAGAGATAATTATTTATAATGTTTATTAAACTGTAAAAATGCCACCTAACTCGAACTCATACACCGTAACTCTGTATTTTTAGGTCAATTGCTATACTCGTTCATCCTGCTCTGGTTCTCGTCTTCATCCACCGTTTTATCTCCAGTAACTCAGGTGTTCCTCCCTTTACGTAAAAATACGTAAAATTCATAATCATATACATTATCTTCTGTTAATTACAATTATGCCTGTGTGTGTGTGTGTACTGTTTATACTGTAGACATGACACAAAACATCATCATTCCCGTCTTCTGGTAATTACTAACAGTATGTTTATATCCCCTTGTGTTCCGTGTTTGGTGAAGTGTAGCGCTATGCGTGGAATATGTGTGTCCCTGCAACTGATGGTGATGATGGCGCCCTCCAGGACTGTCAACGATGGTTACAACAAGCACAGTAACCACACCACCTACCTGCACGCTGCCTCCTTCCGTCAACCCACCACTGCTAACGTCGAGGATAAACTGGAATCTCTGTCTACAAATTCACATCATCTTCCCTTCACTGAGATGCCGTTTAACCTTCACATTCATCCACCTTCAGTGTACCAACTTGCTACCAGAAGGTACACAGGTAAAGCGTCCACTAAACCCTTCTCTATATCTCCGCCACTTATCTCTCACACATCTCCATCATCAAGACGATACCGTAGGATGATAAAACTGCCTGTACGAGACGAAGACTCCCTGGCCGTGCTGCTGAGCGCCATCGTGATCGAGCAGTTGAGGGAGTGCGTCCTGGTGGTGGCTGCCGACCAAGGCTTCTGGAGGTCACCAGTGATGGACCGCCTCCTGCGACTCCCTAACCTGAGACAGGTTCGGGTTATGCTCACACCACTTATGCCACAACACAACACAACATACTGTAGTCTATTATGTGTTTGTATGTGTGGAACTTGAATATTTTTGTCGTCAATAAACTTGTCTAGCCACACACACACACACACACACTCACCTGTGATGAAATATACAAATACTGCCAAAAATATACACAGTGATGGTCAATTGTGTTTTAATGTACACAACAGGTGGTGAACGTGGTGGGTGTGCAGGACCTGCAGAAGGCGGTGTTGAAGGCACAGCAGTGTCGAGGTTACCTGCTGCTCCTGAGCGACCCAGCGCCGCTCTACACCTTGACCGACCCAGTGACAGGCGCCTGGGACTATGACGGCAGGTGAGACACTCTGGCTGGGGATGTTTTAGTTTAGAAAATTAATCTTGCACCTAATTTTTTATCACTCTGGTGCGGCAGCTGAAGTGGACATGACAGTGCCTCTCTAAAGGGCGACAAAACTAAAGCAACTGATATTTTATCTTCTTGAATAGCTACTAATCACCCCCCCTCCCTGCAGGTACGTGGTGGCAGGGATGTCCCAGGACCAGCTGCACGCCCTCACCATCACTAGGAAGGGCAGGAAGACCCAACACATTGTTGGTGTAGTTCAAGTGAGTTAGTTATTAAACCCACATTACCAGTTCACCTTCACATCATTGGTAAACACTGAACTTTGCTCTACGACGTTAATTTCTGTAAGAATGATTTAATAACATACAATTATTATAATGTATTGGACGAGTATAATGTAAACGCTTCTCTTTATATTCGTTTTAGTGTGTTCACCATAAAACCTGACCCCCACAATGTTTGTTGTCAGTATATTAAAAAAAGAAAAAAGTTTGTGAAATTCTTGTCCGGTATCAGCGATGCTGAGAATCTCTTCGTCAGCTTCTTGTACAATAAGCAGCTCCAGAGGTTGGGCTGACAGCGTATAAAATATACAACAATTATAATTAGGTAATAAAAACAGGTGGAACCAAAACTAATTTCGTGTACGTACATAAGCTTACGGCGTCTGTTTCTGAAATCAAGAAAGGTGTAAGAGCCATCACTGATCTCTGCCACCTGTCCTGGACCTCCCGTTGTGGCCATCTAGTTTATGGTCCCACCCGCGTCTTTGATATATAGTATATATAAACCTTTAATATTATCTCTCCCTGTGTCTCCTACTATTATTTATTTGCCAACATGGTGTGGTTGTGGTGGGAACAGTCAGGGGACGCTGGGCAGTACGTGGTGGTGATGAACCAGCTCTACCAGCGGGAGAGGATGGCCCGGGTGTTTACGTGGACCACCTCAAGATCCTCCACCATCCCCGTCAACCTCTTCCCGGACAAGATCACAGACCTGCAGGGAGCTGTTCTTAATGTGAGTCAAAGAAGAACACTGTAACCCTCTATATATTTTTGTATATTCTTTCACTGTGTTTTAATATTTCATGTTCAAATAAGAAGGGTTGTAGATAATAATAAATTCATTGATTTTGTGTAATAATATTAGCCGACTTTCCGGACTACAATCAGCTAGGTAATAAATCGTCAGAGTGTTTACTATAACGGTGAATGTGTCCACTGTGTTAATAATGAGGCGCACAAACCTTGATATATTGTTAGAAAATTCCTTTAACGAGACACCATAAAACTCAACCATTTCACAAACTCGCTACAAATTTCAAGGATGACAAGTATTCGCTGATGTTCACAGCGATTACATGAAATCCCTGAACATTTAAGGTATTACCTGAAATCCTTAATTACACAGGTTCGCTATAACGTATAAGTGAATCAAATATATATCACATGAAATTTATTTGTCAACATGAAATTTTTGCGAGACAAAAACATAAACTGTAGTCATCATTTTCTAGTTATTATTTTTTTTTACTTTAAACCATTAGCTACCCTTTGAATTCTATGATGATGATAAGATGTCGGGATGTTGCAGGTGATCACGATTGAGTTGCCTCCCAACATTATTTACCAGCGGGCGAAGAACGGCTCAGTGCTCCGCCGCTACGGCGTCGACGTGGACGTGGTCACCGCCCTCGCTCAGGTCTTCAACTTTACTATAAGGTTCAAGGAAACTCCGCCGGGTAGGTGGCGCCCTTCACCACCATCTTTAGAAATTTATTTAACTCATTACTCTTATACTGTAAAGTTTAATTTACATAAAAAATAAATCGTGAGCTAAATGAAAAAGCTAAAGTTATATCTCAGCAGATGCTTTTGGCCAGCCAGTTGTTCATCATTATCAGCTATTATCGGTTTACTCTTGAATAAAAGACTAATCCATAAGACTTCACGTTCTTATTTCACTAAACATTCACCAGATCTGAGCGACCCTCTGCTGCTGCTTATCCCCGGGAATCAGTCGATGACTGCCTTAGTCTTGGTATAAGTTTCTTAATCTTTCAATAATATTTGTCTTAGTGTTACAGTTCAACCATAAATAGATAGTATCGTGTAAATATTTAACGAATGAATGTTTTCAGGTGAACTGTGGGGGGAGGTGACGAGTAATGGTACCTGGAACGGTTTGGTGGGGCTGCTGGGGACAGGTGAGGGGGATATAGGCATCGCCAACCTCTTCATCACAGCCCTGGGCGGCCGGAAGGAGTACCAGGAGTACACCACCTACTATGACCAGGAAGTAATAATGATGTTAGCAATATTTATATACATATCTACTGCTAACAAATGGGTATGTGAAATATTTAATATTAGGTCAAATCATTTCCATTATTACTTTCACTCAGTTCCTCTTATGTGAAATTAACCCAGTAGCGTTATGTTGTTACAGACGACGTGTTTCCTGATCCAGAGTGAGGCACAAATACCTCGGTGGCAGTCACTGGCCCTCCCGTACACTGCCACCACCTGGCTCGTCATACTGCTGGGCCTCGTCCTCACTGGACCTCTCCTCTACTGTCTGACCAAACTTGCCTCTTTCAGGTGTGTGTTGAGGGAGTCTGGGTGTGAGAGAAGACTTAAGTGTGTGTGAACAAGTGTATTAATGGGTAGAGGTGGATGGGAAGTAAGTTTGGTATATTTGTCTTAAGAAGGAGGTGATGAGTCCTCCAGGGAGACTTGTGATTGAATGAATGAACAGATAAAGACATAACCTTAGGTTCTTGATAACATCCCACAGAGGAGAGAAGATGGCCAATAGCTCGCTGGCGTACACCAGCCTGTACACGGCGGGGATGCACTTCAGGTCTACTCAGCTCCAGGTGCCCACCTCCTCCAGCCTGCAGGTGTTGGTGGTGTTTCTGTGGCTGTACATCATCATCCTCACTACAGGCTACAGCTCCAACCTCACAGCCTTCCTCACAGTGGACCGAACACCACCCGGCATCAACACCATCAAGGAACTATACCATTCCTCCCTCACCGTCTATGGTCTGGGACCATTCTTCGGCAACAATATGGCCCAGTCCATGAATGACCATCTCAGGGTAGGTTTAATGTGTACCATCAGATATTATATTTAACACCACTACGATATTATAAGGTGACTATGGTCGGGTCTGTCTAACTTGCCAACAATAATAACCCGGAGGATGGAGAGTGTTTCATTGTTTACTTACTATCACTAATTCTTGGCTTAAGAAACTGATTCACTTATTTTTTAATATAACAAATCAATTGAGTGTTTAAATTCTTACCATGAAAAAATGTCAAGAGTAAACATGGCGACGATTCGGCCTAGTCAATTTTAACGGGTTTGGGTTATACAGATCATGGAGAAATGACAGCAGATGGCAGAACCAGCCTGGGTGGTGCACTGTACTCTCACACAGCGCCTTCTGTGGACTTACACACTCCAACATTACATTAGGTTATTAGAATGAGTTGTGTGTATATCCGTATTTTTGTTTACGGTTAACCCGAAACAAAGCTTCATTATCACTCACCAAATTTCTCTCGATTTTTTTTTCAGGAAAATTTTAAAAACGGAAGATGTTGTACACTACATCCTTTTATAGGACAAGTTTTCTGTTCAGGATCTGTCGAGGAGGTTTGAGCCTCTGTGGGACTTCGGGATCATCAGTAGTCACGTGATAAAGGGTGACGGGGTGATGATCCAAACTCAGCGGTATTTGACCTTCTCTAGTGCCCAGCTCACCACCCCCCGCGGTGTACCCAAGGTTAGGGTCATGCAGGTGAGGACAAACACTAGACACGCACACACAAACATACACATACACAAATAACACACACATCAGGCAGTTTTCTCTTTCATCTTTGGGACACCACAGAAAATTTCGTATGGAAATATCAATAACGTTAGACTTTAAACTTGTGGGCGTCAGGTAACTTTATCTGTTAATTAGCTCGGATAGATGCTTGTAAACACCTAAGGTCTTCCTCTACTTCCAAGGAATGTTTTCTTCCCTTCAACGTCGCCGTCGGGCTGCAGAGTCACTCTCCTCTGAAGACGAATTTTGACAAAGTCGTGAGTTGGATCTACCAGAGCGGCCTCCCGAACTACTGGCACAAGCAGACACTCATCCTGTCCAAGAAGGTAATGGAACTATGATGACTAATTTATGTTCCCCATGCGATTTGTATGTATATTTCTGTGTATTTAATTATACACATAACAGTAGAGGAGGAAATTATACTGTATGTTGTTACTCGTCCAGAAGCTTATTTATTATACCTGGACATGACTTAATGGTTTCTCTTCTGGCAAGTATGTTCTCATATGTTGCTTCACAGTTACAGGGGTGTGTGTGTGTGTGTGTGTCATAATAACAATTAACGGTTTATTAAAAGAGCATGGCAGACGGAAGGCTGAAAATATACAGTTACATAATTGGGGAGTGGTTCTCTTGATTTACAAATGTACAAGTAATATGTGATACAAATATGATATATAATAACTAGGTGGGGAGAAGGTCATACTACAGTGTATTTCAACATTGTGACAGTGCAAAATGGTAAGATTGACTGGGAGTGAATACACTGGTTGATTAGAAGTTATTGATAATTTTTACAATGGTTGGGACTGGGCTGTTCTTATAACGATCAGTACGTGCTCGTATGGGCTGGATGCGGTTGTGGTGTCGAACAGCAATTTGCGGACAAGGGATCTCCTGTAGAAGTAGGAGCCGGTGTCGAGGATGGTGCAGAAGCTTCTCACCAAATTTCCAGATGAGATCGTGGTGATGAACCTAAGAACATGAGAATGGAGGAAACTGCAGAGGGCCTATTGACCCATACTGGGCAGTCCCGTTTATACCCAACCCCTATTGCTCATATAAGCATCCAACCTATGTTTGAAACTATCCAGCGTATTCGAGTTAATGATGATATTTGGTAACTTGTTCCATTAATCCACTACTCTGTTTCCAAACCAGTGTTTACCTATTTCGTTCCGAAATCTAAATTTGTCTAATTTAAAACCATTGTTACGAGTTCGCTCCTGGTTGGATAGTTTGAGTACCTTTGTAATGTCCCCTTTGTTTAACCCTGACTTCCATTTATACACCTCTATCATGTCGCCCCTCACTCTACGTCTCTTGAGGGAGTGCAAATTAAGATGCTCAATCCTGTCTCTGTACTCAAGGTTCCTTATGCCCGGGATTAGTCTTGTCATTCTCCTCTGGGTTCTTTCCAAGGATTCTATATCCATTCTGTAATACGGTGACCAGAACTGAACTGCGTTATCCAGGTGTGGTCTCACAAGCTCTAGATATAATTTTAAGACGACCACGCTTGTCTTGTAACTAACACTCCTTTGTATGAACCCAAGTACTTTATTAGCCTTGTTACGAGCAAGAACACATTGTTTACTTGGCTTAAGATTCCTACTTATCATTATTCCTAAATCTCTCTAGCAGTCGGATTCCACAATGGCATCGTTGTTCATCTGGTAACTGGTGTATGTATATTCTGTATGCTGTATTTATATTATGCTATGTATATTATGTATGTGCTCCATTTATGTATTATTTATTTAGCCTAGCTAGTAGCGTGTGGCAATGTATTTATCAATGTCCCACATGCTTAATTAATGTGCCTGGCGACGTATGGAAGCTGTTAATGTATCACTTGCCATATGTCGCCTATAGAGCAGTTGACCAGCGGACAGGTTGAAGAGCGCTACTCCCCTTGTGTACATATCTCTTATCCAGTAAATAGAACCTACAAACATTATACAGGTGTTTGTGTTCGCTCCTGTATATTGAACTTATTACCCAGAACACGAACAACTGGTTTCCCTGTTTACATCTCCTATACTGAGTACTTTACATTTGTCCACATTGAATTTCATGCTGTCATCAGCAAATTTACTTATGTTGCTGTCTATGCCGATATCTATGTCGTTTATGTATGTAATAAATAATAATTGTCCATGTACTGAGCCTTGGGGAACTCCACTAGTGACGTTGCTCCAATGAGATTTAGTGCCGTTTATGCTCACTGGCTGTTTCCCATACAGTAACCACGCCCTAATCCATTTAAGGATATTACCTTTGATGCCATGCGCTTCTACCTTTCTAATTAGTCTTTCGTAGGGGACTGTAGAAGGCTTTGCTAAAGTCGAGATATACCACATTATAATTGTGCCCCTCGTCCACCTATTCGAAAACTGATGAAAAGAATGTTAATAGATTAGTTAGACATGAACGCCCACTTGTGAAGCCATGTTGGGAATCATTGATCAACTTGTGCTTCTCCAGGTGGTTTAGAATAGAGTTTGAAATGATTGATTCTAGTAATTTGCCTACTATTGATGTTAGACTGATTGGGCGGTAGTTAGAGGATAATGATCTATCCCCCTTCTTGAAAATCGGTATTACATTCGCTATCCTCTCGGATTCTGGTACTACACCTGTTTTTAATGACATGTTAAACAACTTTACTAAGGGCATACTAAGCGCTTCCTTACATTCCTTTAATACTCTGGCAAATATCTCATCAGGACCAGGTGACTTATTAGGCTTCAGTTTGTCTATTTGCTTATTAGCATCGTTACTAGTCACTACTATCTCGCTTAATTTGTTTTCTTCACTATCTCTGAATAGAGTCGGTGCCTCGGGTATCATGTTTAAATTTTCGGTGATGAAAACTGTTGAAAAATATTCATTCAGATTATTGCTCATTTCTCCGTCATTATCAGTTAGCTCGCCGGTATCTGAACGTATTGGTCCAATCTTGTCTCGTGTTTTAGTTTGATACATTTGGTAGAATCCTTTGGGGTTTGTCTTCGCCTCCCTTGCTATCTTCAGTTAATTATTTCTCTTTGCTTTTCTTATCTCGGTCTTAATCCTACCGGCCAATACCTTATAATACTCCCGGAGGTAAATTTCGCAACGATTTATCCTTCTACCTAGAGCCTTCCTTTGGCCAATACTGTTCTTTAAATAAATATTTATCCAATTAGGGTCATTGTTGTCTGATCTGAGTTTTTTGTATGGTATGTTCTGCCTTTGTGCATTAAGTAACTCATTATTTAAATTGTTGTGTAACTCGGCAATCTCAGATCTCGTTATCAGGACGGTGTCATCTATCAGGTTCACGCCCAAGCGCGACACCCCCTCTCCTAGCTGCCTCTTTAAAATATCAAAGTTTGCCCATCTGAAATCTGGGACTTTAATGGAATTCTCCTGATGTCTGAACTGAAAATCTAACTGGAAACTAATTTCTTTGTGATCGCTGATTGCAAGTTCATTCCCTACCTCGACATTGCTAATGAGGTTTTCTCTGTTGGACAGAACTAAAGCGAGTATATTATTACCCCAGGTGGGTTCGGTTATATGTTGACTTAGGAAACAGTCCTGGATCGTTTCGAGGAAATCCTCTGATACTGAGTTACCCATAAGGTTCAGTCCAATCTATTTGACCATGGTTAAAATCGCCTACTATACAGACTTTGTTGTGTATGGAAGCCCTGCACATTTCATCCCAGATAAGTCGCTCATTAACTCTATCAAGATTCGAAGGTCTATATATTACTCCTATGACTATTTTTCCCTACCGTCGATTAATTCTATCCAAATTGTTTCTGTATTCCGCTCAGTTTTTATTTCCTTATTTATTTCACACTTCAGATTATCCCTGACATAGATTGCTACTCCGCCTCCTTTCCTGGACGGCCTATCGGTATGGGACAATTTGTAATCCGCAATTTGGTATTCGACAGGTAACTCACGTGAGTCTAGGTTGATCCATGTTTCAGTGAATGCTATTACTTGTATATCGATTTTTTCGGTACATACCAAGGCCCTAATATCATCCATTTTGTTTCTCATACTTTTACTGTTCGCGTAGTAGACATTTAAGTTAGTCGTGTACCGAGTCCTCCCTTTACCGCGTTTAGGTTTAAACTCCCTGTCAAATTTAGTTTTATCATCATTCCTAACACTATTTCCCTGTAATCTTTCACTTTGTTTACCCGCTCCCACTGCAGTCTCCTCCATCCCCGTGCCCATAGTGTTCCCCTAGCAGTTTAACGACTTCGATATCTTTTGAACTGTCCCCTCTAGAGACCCAGCCCGGGTTGCCACCCCATCCCGAGACAGGTGTACCCCATCCCTTGCATAAAGGTCCCTTCTGCTGTAAAAGTTGCCCCAGTTGTCAATGAATGGGACTGATATTGACTTGCAATATCCGTCAAGACGGCTGTTGACACCAACTGCCCTTGACAACAATTCATTGCTAACTCTCCTTCTAGGCAGGACACCACATATAATAGGGATCCCTCCCTTAGTCCTAATACGATCTATGGCTGTCTTGAACTTATCAAGAAGCTCTTCACTCCTACACCGGCCAATATCATTGCCTCCTGCACTGAGGCAGATAATGGGTTTGTTCCCATTAACAGACAAGATATTGTCCATCCCGTCGATTATATCCCCCACCCCAGCTCCTGGCAAACATACACCTCATCCTATTTTTATTTTTACCACAAAAGGCTCTGTCCAAGTACCTTACCTGTGAGTCACCAACAATTAAAGTTTTTATACCTTCCTTGTCAGCCCTGTCCCTGACTGTACTAACGTCCAATTCATTTATCAAGGGACTAAACGAGTTGGTACACTTAGCTGTTGTTGTCGTTGTTGTCTTATCCTTGGTGTGTTTCTTCACCACCAGTTTGGTCGTTCCTCTCCTCACAGCCTTCCATTCCCCAGAGTCATCGTCATTCACCGGTGTAAAGGCCTGGGAATTAGGGATAGAAATCCCTTACCAGACTAATCAGGTTCTTAATAAAGGAAAGTCAAGGACCATGGTTTTCTGAGGAATAGTAAACAACCGTTTGAGATTGACTATAAAAAATATAATACAAAACTCTGACACCACTCAACAAACATCAAATAATTACGGGAGTCAAACAATTAATGCAGTCAATAGTTAATGGAGTTAAACAATTAAGGGAAGCAAACAATTAAAGGAATCAAACAATTAATGGGAGTCAGCAATTAATGGAATCAAACAATTAATGGCATCAAACAATTAATGGGAGTCAACAATTGATAGAATCGAACAATAAAGGGGAGTCAGCAATTAATGGAATCAAACAACCATAGAATCAAACAATGTACAGATATTTCCTAAGGCAGTGGCCCTGGGGGAAGGTCCATTCAACTCCACACTCGAGAGACAGCTGCAGATTGTCTTGAAATGGCAGGAGAACACCCCGGTACACACGGCTGAATGAGATGACTGATGGTCGTGGTATGTGGAAGTGGTAGATGACCAGAGAATTGACAGTCGATAGGTGAAGGTCTGGGGACACAGCCCACGAGTCCAGGACCTATGATGAGATCACAGCCAGAATTTGACGAACAGCAGGGTAGCTAGATAGTGACTGTATGGCGGGTGGGGTGAATCTCCCTGTGACCTGGGTAGCAGCTGCCGTTCTCACCTCTGCCCAACCACCCTAAGTGTTGTCAGCACCAGCAAACGAGAGTGTTAGCAGCGATAACGAGCAGGAAGATCGTTTCCTCCCTTACAACCGGCTTTCCTTGTCTCGTTTCTTCCTTCATCCTTGCTATCTCTTGCTTTAATTTCAAGTTTTCTTCCTCTAATTTCAGGTTGTTTTCCTTGGTACTCTCTAACTCGGCCCACAAGTAGCACTAGCCATATCTGATAATTATCCCCGGGAGCAGAGCTAAGCAGCCGTGACCTTTCCTCTAGTGAGGTCAGAACACAACTGGTCAGAGAGAGCCGAGAGGGTCGGTGTGTGTGTGTGTGTGTGTGTGTAATAATAATAATAAATAATAATGATAAACGGTTTATTGAAAAAGTTCTGCAGCCCGAAGGCTGAAAATATACATTGGACGGCTCCCGGACAGATGGCCGAAGGACATTTGGCCGAAGGACATTTGGCCGACGGACGTTTCATCGACGGTGATTTGACAGAACTGATCATTGAGCCGACGGACATTTGGCCGAACAGACAATAGACAGAACGGACAAATGGCCGAACGGACATTTAGCCGAATGGACATATGGCCTTTTTAATTTTTTTTTCCTTTCTTCTTTGCAATGTATTTTTTGCACATTTACTAAAGGGTAAAAGATATTAATTGTCATGTAATTGCTTCTTTGCAATTCCATGGTCTTAAAAGAAACAAATATTAAATAAAGTAATAATAATAATAATAATAATAATAATAATAATAATAATAATAATAATAACAACAACAATAAAAATATCGGCTTACCCTTACAACCTGTGAAAAGCGACTGCATCCGAGTCTAGGCAAGCAGGGCTAACGTTTGGTTGGTTTGGGGCGTGGCTACAAACTTCACTTGACTTAACATGACTAGTTACGTCGCCCTTTCTTTTGTGTTCGTGGTGGTGTTGGTGTGTGGATTAGCGGATGTCATGTTTTTGACCTGACCTCATGTTTTGTAAGGTCACCCTGTGTACATAAACCTCTCTCAGTCCTTGTAATTCACTAGTTAAATTGAAATTAGGGAAAACAATGCTGATTATTTCCGACGTCTACCAGATATTAAACACAAGACTGAAGAAATTTTTATAAAGCAATTACTTTACAATTAATATCTGTTATCCTTTAGTAAATGTACCAAAAATACATTGCAAAGAAGAAAGAAAAATAAAAAAATAAAAAAAGGCCATATGTCCATTCGGCCAAATGTCCGTTCGGCCATTTGTCCGTTCGGTCTATTGTCCGTTCGGCCATTTGTCCGTTCGGTCTATTGTCCGTTCGGCCATTTGTCCGTTCCGTCTATTGTCCGTTCGGCCAAATGTCCGTTGGCTCGATGTCCGTTCGGTCAAATGTCCGTCGGTGAAACGTCCGACGGCCATCTGTCCGGCCACGAAATTGGACATAAATGACTTATTACATACAGTGGTGGTTTAACAAAAGCCTTCATTAGAGAAAGGTGAAGGAACATACAGTGAACATACAGATTAATGTTTACAGCGGAGGTCACGTAGATCATGTGAGCTGAGGTGTTGAGCAGCAAACACGTAGTGTAGTAACTCCCTCACATATAAGGGGCATCACGTGGAGAAGTAGTTCCCTCACAGGTGGTGTTATGAGGGGCTTGACGTGGTGTAGTAATTCCCTCACAGATGGTGTTATGAGGGGCCTGATGATGGAGTAATTCCCTCACAGATGGTGCATGAGGGGCCTGATGATGTAGAAATTCCTCCTTCACAGATGGTGTATGAGGGGCCTGATGATCTAGTAATTCCCTCACAGATGGTGTATGAGGGGCTGGTGATGTAGTAATTCCCTCACAGATAGTGTTATGAGGGGCCTGATGTGGTGTAGTAAATCCCTCACAGATGGTGTATGAGGGGCCTGATGTGGTGTAATAATTCCCTCACAGATGGTGTTATGAGGGGCATCACATGGCGTAGTACTTCCCTCACAGATGGTGTTATGAGGGGCATCACATGGTGTAGTAATTCCCTCACAGATGGTGTTATGAGGGGCATCACGTGGTGTAGTAAGTCCCTCACAGATGGTGTTATGAGGGGCATCACGTGGTGTAGTAACTCCCTCACAGATGGTGTTATGAGGAACCTCACATGATGCTGTAGCAACTCATTCACTACGTGGTGTCGTAGCATCATGGGGACACCACGTGGTCTGTTGTCACAGGACCTTACTCACTCAAGTGAGTGAGATGTGGTCCCAGGCCTCCCCATCGTGGAGTCTCAAGGGAATTATTACTGGGTACCTGGGACCTCACTGTGTGAAGGTTAGTTTGGGTAAAACTCAACTGTGACTGCCGAGTTGTTTTTCACTGACTTAAGCACTGTTCACCACTATTCAACACTGGTTTCATTCCTTTCCCAAATGAAATAGTAACTTCTGACGAGAACTTATGTGTGTGTGTGTGTGCTTTCTTCTTGTAACAAACACCACTTTATTTTAGATCACTAACAGGCCGAGGAGAATAATTAATTTTACTCAAGCAAAACAATGTGAAAATCACCCCTAGTCATCATACAATAATTACATAAGTAATGAAGCTCTTACATTAATATTATTCTTCGGAATTGAAGTTCATTTCCTGATTTTTAGCCAGGACTAAAGTATTTTGTCCATCACTGAACAGTACAAGAGAGAAGAGGAAGAGGTGAAAGCGACCCCTGAGAGTGAGGTGGCCGGTGGCGGGGGGGTGTCTCTCACTCTGGAGCATGTACAGGGAGTCTTCTTCATCCTGGGTCTCGGCTACGTGGCGGCTCAACTTGTGTTCATGTTGGAGATGTTCTTGAGTTCTCGGGGAAATACTCGCTAACAAATTCCTTAACACACTGGGCTGAATCACAAGGAGTTCTTATGATCATATCTGAATATTTACGTGTAAACTTCACATGTTGGTCAAGTAAGAGACGTGTAATGTGTTTTAGTTGCAAATTTAGGTTTGAACATAATTATTTAATGACGTTTTTATGCATAGTAATTTACCTTGACTGTAAGTTCACTGAAGAATTGTAGTGTTATTCAGATGTAATTATTAGTGAAGTCGTAATAGAAATAAATGTTGCATCAAACAGTTATAATAATTTACCTACATCCTATGCTACCAACTACCTGTGGCCCAACCCAAACGACATTGTCATCTACATAATAACAACAACCAAAACAAAAGATCATCTTAATGTTGAGAATGGTGGTAAAGAGAGAGAGAGAGAGATGAGACACTCGCTTCTTCACCTGATTGTTGGGAAGATGATCACTATCAGAGGGTAGAAAGAAGAGAATAATTTACCTCTAATATTTAACATATGACCTTTAAGTTTATCACTTTTCTGACCTGAGCGAATTAGCTAACCAACTCACTCACTCTCAGGGCTGATTGTAGAGGTCTATTATGAAGAACAAGATTCTTCCTCATATACAGAGAAATTATAGGTAAAGTTAACATGCGCGTCGTGAGGTGTGAGCTTAACAGGTATGTATGGTTCACCTTGCGGTCTATGAAGTGTAAGTAATGCTTACTAGCGTTGGTGTGTTGGTGTGTGGCAATACAAGAGCTTAAAATCTTTACAGAATATCACCCATACACTTTCCTGCGGGACAAATATTCTTTCACCAAAAAATAATACCCTGTATTTGGGTGGAAAAATGTGTTAACCAGGTCAAATCTGTGTCCAGGTGTTTAGTTATGGTTGGCTTGACGGTTATTCAGGTAAACTTACTAACAGTATAATGATGTTATCTCTTGTTACCGTTACTTACTGTTTTACGGTTGTCCCTTATGTTTGTCACTTAACACTACACCTCCTACTTCTGTTATGACTCGCTCAACGGTATAAAAGTTAAGTTTACAGGAAATATTATTGTTCTCAGCTCATCCTTCTACAGCCGGACTTAACTCTGATTGTTGAGTCCTTTAACACACTGGCGGCTGTAAACGACACCACAACCTGGTGAAGGTGTGAGGTGCCCACCAGGTGCTCTCTTACGTGTTAAATATTTGATTTATTGGTGGTGTGGTCGGAAACATGACCACTGAAGCGTGAAACCGTAATGAGTGGATATCCTGTCGCAATTCTGGTCAGGTGTGCGACTACGTGGACGGAGAGACTAAACTGCGCAGAGGAGGCTTCGGCGTATGTCCTCCTGACCCTCTTGGTATGGTGTACAATCCTCACTCTCCTTCAGCTCTTGACCTTTATCAAAGACCAGATGTAGTGCCAGTATTAACATTGCGTGTCTACCAAACGTGGAGTTCTATCCCGTAAGTTTTACTCCGGTGTTGTTTCTTTTGACTCTCCCTTCTGCTCACCGTCTAACAGGAAGAGCTAGTCCAGATTTACTTGGTAGTCAGTCTGTCACAAGGAAACTCTTAAACCTTGACTTGTGAAGTGTGTTGCCTTATAAATTATTATGTTAATCAGTATCTTGATTCTGTGGCGAAAAGCTGCTTTTTGATATATTCTGCTCAGCTGTGTACAGGAACATCGTGATTAATGAAAAAGTTTCTCTCTCTCTCTCTCTCTCTCTCTCTCTCTCTCTCTCTCTCTACGTGTGTGTGTGTGTGTGTGTGTGGAGGAGACTACGACCGTAAAATAAAATAAGAATTCCCACGAAAGTTTTCAGAATTCACGTCTCACTTGCTGTAAACATCATCACCTGATAAGAAAAAATCCATTAAAAACCCTAGGGTGACACGGGCTGGTATGGGTGCACCGTGACTCACTGACCTGGTGACAAAATCCTCGAGAGTTGAGTGAGAGGGACACCACACACAGGAGGAATGTTTAGACAACGACAACTAACAAAAATATTAATCTTGTTGTGTTATTTTTGGTTTATGGAAAATATTTCTTCATCTTGGTGGGATATTTTGAGTGATCTGTGTGTGTGTGTGTGTGTGTGTCCCTAGGGCTCGTTACACGAGGGGCAACCATTATTATTCTTATAACTGTTAATCATGTTATTGTAATTATTCTTGTCAGGGTAACTGTATTATTACTGTTATAGTCAATTGTTATTATAATAAATATCTTCATTATCATGGCAGTTATATCTAAAGTTATTCTTTTATTATTATTATTAGTAGTAATTGTTGTTGTTGTAGTAATACTAGTATATCATAAGACTGTAATGTTTTTATCACTAGCCTGCACCTCAGTTACTCTTCCTCCTCCTACCCCCTCTCTCCCCTCACCTCCTTCACCCCCCTATCCCCACTCTGCCGGTTCTTGCCATCAACTGCCAGGGGTTTAATTTCAGGAAAGTATATATACAGTATATAGGGTAGTGCCCCTCACCAGCATCATCACCACAACCACCTCTCAGTCGGAAGCAGAAAGTCCATTGGAAGTTTAGTCCTCGAAGCCCAAAGGAACGTCTCGAGCAGGTGAGTAAAAGCTTCGTTTTGATCCTAGTAATCTAAGACAAACTCCACAGGTTATGGGTCAAAACTCTTAGAGACATGTGACACTTTCTAAAGTGGGCGGAAGCACTTGCCTTATTTTAGACATAATGTGAAGCAGTCTCCAACAGCTAGCCACACAAGTCGAAGCACTATAGACAAATTATATAAGCAACTCGGAAAATCTCTAGCAAGTGAAAATTTTGTCGGAACTCTTGGGGTAGTAAATTTATTATCACACTACTAAAGAAAACACTTGGTCCTAATGTTTGTTCTAGATGAAAGTCTCCACAAACATGACCAAAGTTCTGAGTTAACTCTTAACGGACATATCTGAAGAGAAAATATTTTCATGTACCAAAATAAAACACGAAATCTGTAACCATTTTCTTACATGTTGTAGTCAGCTCTCTAATAATTATTATATACTTGTCTAAAAGGAGCATGACTACATCAACAACACGTCACTTATGAGCGATACTTGATGTTGTCATTGTAATAAAGTTTACAGAAATCTGAAGACAGAAAATGTTGTCCAAAACTTAAACGAAAGATTCATCAACTTTGTTATTATATGTTTGAGTGAATAACATTACGTAAACTACTGTACATATAAGTGACGTGTGCAATAAGAAGTCTTCAGGTAGCCTTCGTTATATTTTATTTTATGTATAATAAATGGGTTACATGGAAAGCATTATAAGATTTATCATCTCATAAATATACAATTTACCCCTAACTATAGTTTTAACGTTAACAATATAGTAATAATCTGTTGTTGAAAGGGAATATAGCTTTCATTATTTTCATTTGTGATTTTTTTGCCTTTTTTTTATATTAATTACTATATTTTCCTTCTTCTTTGGTTGTCTTAATTATCATTCCACATCACTTCTTTTACATCATCAAGGTCGACCTTAATCGCAGTAGTTACTCACCATTACCTTCACCACAGCCAGGATGGTGACCGAGATAGTGATGATGGTTATGTTGGGTGTGGTGATGGTGAGTGCCAACGTGCCTGCTGAGAAGACGGACTTACACGACCTCTACCTCCCGGACTGTGGTGAAATAACGAAAATGGCGCCTGGGGAAACAGCCATCATCAATTCTCATCTACCAACTGAAGACCATCCCGACGAACATAAGTAAGACAACCTTCATCTTTCTTTGTTAATAACTTACCATACCTGCTTTATGTTAATGATCAAAATTAAGAACATCAATATCTTACGTGTTAATGACAAGTATTATGGGTTAGGTAGGAAGTGTTACCCATTAGTTATAGCCTTTACCTGTTCCTCATTAACCCACACACATACGTTCAGTTTACACCTGTGTTTCCCCCACAATCACCCTGCGAGTCACTGTATGTCAAGGGTCGTTTGCGTCAGCTTGCGCTATTAACTTTGAAGCGAGCCAGAAGTGACCTGACTCCAGTCATTAATTTCCATCACAGATATAATGTTTATTAATACCACTATTGATATAATGTTTACTAAGACCAATATTGATATAATGTTTACTAGTACCAGTATTATAAACCCCCACAACATTTATTCATAACTAGAGAAAGTACCAAGAACGTTTTTTCAACCTTTCACTCTTAATATCAACATTTGTTTTTAATTCTCTACAGGTGTGTATGGAAATTTGTCTGTAAAGAAATAAATGACAACTACATACGAGTTGAATGCCTTTACTTCGACTTAACATCAGCAGCGAATTGTGGTGATAAGCTGGTCATGAGGAAGTATAAACGATCACCGAAAACAAAGTAAGTTTCGATCCCATGTTTATCTGTCTCTATAATGCTAATATAATTTGTCTGTATAATGATAATGTAATAATGTAAATAACAATAAAAGTGATCTTGTTATCAGCGTTGTTGTGGCACTTGTTGTCTTTGTGTTGAGTTACCGAGGAGTTCAATGCTGTTTTATCTCTTGAAAGAATTGGTATAAATCTAATGTGTTAGTGGAGAGATATAGAGAGAGACAAGCAGGCAGAGGGAGATTATAGGGTCATCTCTCACCCCAGGTTCTGCGGTACTGATGGCCCTCATGGGGTAGAGAACAATCAGGGATGGATGAAACTCACCTACACTTCAGACGCTGTGGACGACGAACACAGTGGCTTCCAGTGTTACGTGAAATGTCTTGCGAAATAGACCACGGCTGAACCTTGATTATCCCTGATCATAGATGACCTTGATAATTGTTGATCTTCACATGTTTCCTTCAAAATATCTAAATTCACTCATAACACCATAATGTATACCAGTCAACTATATAACTCCTTGTGTTATCTTTGGTGTGTGGCCTCAGTAAGAGAGACTGGTGATAACTGTAAAATATTTTGGTATAAAAGCCAATAACATTTTCTTCTTTAATAATGTAAGTCTTTTTACTTATGGAAATGTCTCTTAATAACTCCGGGATCGAGAACCAAGTTGTAACCTAGAGTGAATTGTGGTACATTAGATGATATTATGTAATAACTTCAAATAATTATAAAATATTCTCTACTTTTTTACTGAAACTACACGTACAGGCTGGCATCACTTCGGCCTTCAACGCTGAGGTGTCCAGCCGTCTGTGTAAGCGAGGCAGACTCGGTAAACAACGTTCTTATGAAGGTGATCAGAGCGCCGTCTATCTACCCCATTATTCACACCGTAACAGCCAACCAGTCTCCCCAGTTAATCAATAATATAATTATAATAAAATGAATAAGTCTGCACGATGTAGTGAAGGAAAGTTGTTCATAATCATCAAATTGTAATGAAATATTTTACTCGTATATAAATATTATCTGTTTAGACTGACTACACATATTGTTGTTTGGTTTTAATGTTTATATAAATTAATTTAATAAGACTTAGAAAAGATAACCATAGTAACAAAACTAATATCCAGTTATAATTCTTGTAATATTGGGAATGATTAATATTTGGAGGAGACCAGAAACAACCCGTTTGGACCAGGTCAGGCGTTATAACATCATACTTATCCTGTGACCTAACCTAACCCAACGTAACCTAACCTAATGTGTTTTGTATCACTATAGGTTAGGTTATATTTAGGGCCAAATTACTTTACCCTGGTTAGGTTAACATAATCCATCGTTCACAAATGCTTGAAAATATAATTGTTGGTGTCTGATAATAAATGACAAATAAGGAAGAAACTTGAAGAAAACTCCCGAGTCGTGTTACTGTGCCCTCACCCTGTTGTAGATCTGGACCATAATAAATCACACCCCATTAACTGTCTATAATTTGCCTGTTGATTTTGTTCTTGTTTCTTGTGTAGTTTTCAGCGAGGGAGGCGGTGAGAGGCCCTTCATTATAACTATTGGTCAGAGAAGAAAGTGCTTAATATTTTACTAATAATATGAACTGTATTATAATTAAAAGAGTTTTCACAGGATATTCTCAAGTGTATTACACAAATGACGTTCATTCAGATATTTTAAAATGGTTTATGAGAAGGTTCTTTTGTAAGCGTCTTTGGGAAACTCACTGTATATGAAGAAAAAGTAAAAATATGTCTTAGATGGTTGTTGATGACTCTGAGGCACACGAAGAATTCACTGGGCTGTATACTGTATAGAGACTCAAAAAACTACCTGTACTCGGAGTGATCGATGACTTTCATAATAAACACAGCGACTCCTTTTGTCTCGGTAGGGTTGTCAAAATACTTCGTCCGTTGTGTCAATTTTTCAACACAATTTTGTACACATTGATTTTTGAGTGATTGTACCAGATCCTTAATGATTTCGTTGACGACTTTAGACATCAGAGGGCAGGGATAAGAAGAGGGACAGGAACAGTAATGTAAAGGAGTACTGCACAGATATGTGTGTGAGAGAGGTTCTTCCCTTGACATTGTACCAACATTGTCCTGGGTGCTGCCTCAGTCTCGTTCTGGTCCACAAATTCCAAGAAATCAGACATTAGAAAAGTCTTGGATAATTTGAGTCAAGTGTGTTTGTTCTTTAAGACATGTACTCAAGAGGTTAAGATATCGTACTCAAGAGGGTAAGACATCGTACTTAAGAGGGTAAGACATCCTGCACAATGGGTTAAAACATCGTACTCAAGAGGGTAAGACATCATACTCAAGAGGTTAAGAGATGTCCTTAAATAATGAACAATATTGGATGTGGTGAAAAAGACTTGGACATAACAACAGGAAATAATAACTCCTTATGCTGAACGCCATGGTGATAAGCTTTTCCCCCAACCATACTTTGTCACTCTTCTTATCCTGTATATATATCTCCACTCGTAGTCTGTCTAAGATCGATCGATTGATTGATTTATTGATTGATTGAGTGATTGATTGATTGATTGATTGGTTGATTGATTAATTGATTGATTGATTGATTGATTGTGGTAAATACATCCCTCCTGACACAACAGTTAGGTCATATGCCGCCGGTCTGCTTAAGAAATAAAGGAAATTTACTCGGGTTACTTTCGTGTTCAACAACTCAGGTGATTGATGCCTTGTTCCGTCACTACACTCGTGCTACATAACTTGGGTCTGGAGAAAGCTCGTCGTTAATGATGGACGTGGAAGTGTTTGGTTAAGTTATGAATACAAACACGTACGTTGGTGAGTCAAGTGTGTCACCAGAGATCGCTAATAATATGATCCCTAATTCTCACGTTACTGAAGATCTCTGGGAACTGTGGACAAATGCCAATGTTTTTGCTGGTCTCGACATCATAACACTGAGTCTTGTTTATGTTTACCGTGTTGTAGGACCCAAGATAGCGTCTTTTAATGGGGAGATTTATGTGTGAGTAAAACCTGAGGGAAGAACTTTAACTTTATAGTGATTATGTTAGTGGTAATGAGTGTGTCACATCTGTAGGTTGGGGCAGTAAGTCGACGATCTAGCTGTGCATATCTTTTATTCATATCATTTGCTATCTCTCTTTCCATTTATGTCTCTTTCTCACTCTATATGTATCAGTCTCTCTCTCTCTCTCTCTCTCTCTCTCTCTCTCTTATAGATCACCACAATAGTGTTACATAAACTGGGTCTGGAGTGTTATTATTGATGTCATTATATCCTTTACACACAGCAGGACCAAAATATTACCTTTATGGAGCGAAAGAGAAAGTAATAATCTGCAAATATGTCATCATAACCTATACTGTTAAGGGTTATTATAACACTGTCAACCCTTATTGATTCCAGAGAGTCAGGTGGCGGGGAAGTTATTGTTATGGTCATTCGTGTATAATGAACGGGTCGGTGCTGCGGGCGGCACTCGTCTCCCATCCTCGGCTCCAGATACACGCCTTCAGTAGTCAAATTCGTGAGCCACCCAGGTAAGTAGGCCTACCAGAAAGCCAATCAACGTAGGGAAGAGCTCATCCAATTATTGTAGAGCTCAGATGGCCAGTCAACTAAGACCCTTCAGTTCAGTAGACCGTCTTCGTTCAGAGTAGACACACCGACCAACAGTCACCGAACAAGGAAGACGTCCAGCCAGCCCAGCATCACGTAGACAAGAAGGTCAGTTAAATTATCTTTGTTCATAAATTAAAGCAAACTTTCCAACATGATGCAGTGTAAGGTATCAGTGTATAGATATTATGCACCTGCCTCACCTCCCCGCTATCGTCAGCAAGTGTCGTATAATATAGGTGGCGGAATATTAACTGTTTCTCTAACTCTTATTATTTAAAGTTGATGACAATTTATATATAAACATTTATATAACTCATTATTAAATATTCTGCCTGAGTTAAATGTATTTATGTGTACCCCGGGTCGATAATGTACAGTACCATGGGTGGGGCGCGCAACCGTCTGCAGTACTCACAGGTGTAAGTGAACGGGGCACCAGTGGTAATGGTGTCTCACTCGGAACCCGGTTACACCACGAATCAATGATGAAGAAGGAGAGAGAGTGGAAAATATAAGGTAGAATGAAAGCATAGGACGAAGATGTATGAACAATAAAAAGAAGTGAAAATGAAGAAATGGAAAGAGAAAGAATAAGAACAAAAAGAAGAGGAAGAATCAGGGAAACGAACACTTCATAATACTGTAGTGAAGTCTTCTGTACCAGCAGCGAGTGGACGACCATTAAGTAAATTAAAGTCATTTGATAACATTCGCCAAATTATGTATTATTCACAGAAACAGGATCTCACTTCTGCAACTATTTGTGATTCATAATTTATTCTGTAATGACGTAATTGTTTAACAAGCGTGGAGAACAAGCACAATAAAGAACAAACAGGTTAGGGATTGATTCAGGGGAGAGTTTGGTGTTTGTGAAGGAGGCTGGAAGGGAGTTTTGTGTTTGTTTGTTTGTTGGTTGTGAAAACAGGTGATATACTATTTGCTTGTTTGGTTTTGAAGTTATTGGTGGAGTGTTTGGCTGAGTGTGTTACGACCTGTGTTGGTATGCGTGTGTGTGTGTGTGTGGAGGAGGTGGTCGGGTCATGTACACACACAGTAATAGTGGCACTTTATCCTAGATGTCAATATAAAACGCCCCATAACGCCCATAAGGCTTGTCACACTCAGGTGGTAATGATGCGGGAGTCACACACACACACACACACACACACACACACACACTATTTAATCTTCTAGACGTGAATTAATGTTGATCTTTCTGTTTACGACGGAGATAGTTCGTTATATAATGTGATAGGATTTAGGTCAATGTCTCCGTTCAAGTAAATAGTAACATTTACCAAAGAAACCGACAAGAAATCATAAGTAAAGACTTGAGTAATGTTTATTTTATAGCCATCGACGCATTACGATAAATTCTTGCTTCCAGAAATCGATCAAAGTAATTACGTCTTCGAATCAGTTTTCTCGTGTTTGTTTTCTTTGATTTTGATTTGGTTATTAACATTAATATTTAATTATTTAAAGTTGGTCCCCGTAACTTAGGCATTAAGACGACTGGGCCTTAATGTTAGTGTTTGTACGGAAGGTCGATCATATTTGGATTAGATTAAGAGAAGCAGGAGGAGGTAATCTTATTTATAGCTCTGTAAACAAATGCACACATAGTCTGTATGTTGGGACGATCACTTGGATAATTATGATGCAAATTATAAATGCTAACCTAACCAAACCTAACCTAAATAACGTAACCTAACCTAATGTATTACAAATTTCTTTTGGTTATGATTTTATAGCAAATAGAATCTTTACTGAAAAAGAGCAGAGTTTACCACATATGAACTAATATATATTAAGCTTTAGCAATAAATATAAAATCACCCTTCTTTGGAAAAAATCAGTTGCTTGAGGCTTGTAGTGGATGTCTCCTCTACAAACTAACTGCGTAGCTGCACACCACCTGCTATCACATTCCAATGTGCCGCCTTCCCTAGCAACCAACCAGATGTTACCGTATCTTAGCAACGAAACTAGTCACCGGCTACTTCTCGGGTTTTCCCACCATGACTCATAGCGGCTGCTGAGGGGTATATAAGCTCTGTCTCTCCCTTGAGATTCAGAAGCAAGATGTCACGGGTTCGATTCCCGGGCAAGCGGAAGTTGTTTGGACACTCTTCCTAGCCCCCTTGGTCCCTGTTCACCTAGCAGTAAAGTAGGTACCTGTTGTAAATCGAAATGTTGCGAATTCGTATTCAGGGAAAGTTGTTGGAGCTTCTAAACTTGAACTACACAATCCGAAGGAGTGGTGACCCGAGGATCACACACCCAACACAGACAAAACCAAATACGTGCGCTATGCGCTAACCAAATAAACGCAGTCGTGTAAAGCCACGGCACTATCTCTCCCACTACAATTCCCTTCCTAACCTCCTGCTCCTTCCTCTGTCATCTTCCCCGCTCTGACTTTCGCTACCAACAACTTTTTTGGAGCTTCTAAACTTGAACTGAGATTCAGTCTGACCAATCTTCTTGAACAAGCAACACCTCCTCTGCCGCTGCCTGGCGACCCTCGCCTCTCCTCCGCCTGCCTGGCGGTCCTCGCTCCCGCCAGCGAGCATGTCCTTCTCTGAGCTTCCTCACCAACCAATTCTCATTCTGCCCATTTTCCTGAACAAGCAACATCTCCTCCAGCAAGCTCCACACTGTTAACATTTCATTCAACCAGGAGGCCAGCAACAGGCAACACCTTCTCTAACGAAGCTCCTGCACATCTACCTCCTTCAACAAGCTACTCACCGCACGTCTCTACCAAGCAGCCCCTCACCACACAGCACCTCCAGCACCAGACTGTCTATCATATAACTTATATATTATA